GTTAAGGATTCATTCAGACACCATGTAGCTTTTATTCATCCTCCCCCATTCAGAAAACACCCTGACAACTGCTGTACCATTATTCTATCAATACACACTGATGTGTTGCAAGTCAATCCAGAAATTCTTCAAGAAAAACCTACAGGTCAACCTTAAAATTTAGTTGTCTTTTTTTTTTTTTTTTCTAAATCTGAACTTTAGACTGTAATGAGAACATTCTCATGTTTCCTACTGCATTTTTTTCAAGTACACCACATTACCACTCCAGATAGCAGTAAGAAATGTAATTTGCACATCCACTGTATGTTCGTATTTCCAAGACAGAAAAGCATTCAGTTTTAGAATCAAAACATTTTCAGGCTTTCCTCTTGCCTTTTCTCACATAGGAAACAAGCATTCTGGAGAATTTCACACTCCAGTAACAACAGGAATATCACACAAGGATCTCAGAAGAGCCCTGGGAATTATATTAACAATCTTTTTTCCTTTCACATTTCTGACTAGTGGAGCTAACGAAGCACTATTAGAGCAGCTCCCTGAAGCAGGAGGTTAAAAATGTGATTACTTGAATATATTGGATACTTTAGTCTATGAAATGACTGTATGTGAAAGTGGTGTCTACTGAACAAGTTTCTTTTACTTGCTTAGGAACCTTTCTTCTCTGTATTGAACCTTAAGGAAAAACTACCAAAGATCCAGCCTGCTGGACCTAGGACTTCTTTCACACTTTTGTATTTACAATACATCTTTAACATCCTTTTATAGGATGCCACAAAAATGGCATCCAGTAGTGCCCTTGTTTCGACAAATTTGTGCTCTTCCCCTCTACATTTATACTGCAGATTCATCTTGACCACAGCTTATTCCTAACTTTGCAAATGTGTAACAATTATGTCAATAACTATGCACAATTTGTAGTTTAAGAAGTTTATTTTTCCTTCATCAAACTCAAATAATTCCTTACTTCCACATTTGATTTTCAGGCATGCTCTAATCTCTGCATCTCTTCATCAAATGTTGCCATACCTTACACATTAAACAACCTCCTGACCACTAGCAAAGAAAGAAAAGGAATTTCTTTCCATATCCTTACAAAGCCTGAACAGTTTCTAAAAGGAAAATAATTTTAGGCTACTTATGGTTGTGATTACATCCTTGCTAACAGGAATGCACAGTAAATGCACAGTACTCTTTCCCTTAACCTTTAAAAGCCTCTTCTCTCCTTCAGGCCAAGCATTAAGAGATTTGGCAAGAAACGTCCAGAAGAGGGAGATAAACAGAAATTTCAGATTTCTCAACAGTAGCAGATTTACACAACACCATCATTATTTCAGCCTAAGACAGAGTTAAAGTATATCATCTGAACTCTACTACAAAATCTACTGCCTGCTGCACATCACACCTAACACCTGATGCACTGTATTCCTTTGCTCTTCTTGTTCAGCAGTATCCCTGACAATGAAAAACCAACAAATGTGAATTCAACTCACACAGTCCCTGACCAATAAGACCATTGACCAAATCAAGAGTGAGAGAGCTGCTGACACGTGTCAAGGCTAAAGAAATACAGACAGTTCTGGCTTGCAGGAAACTATTAACTCTAAAATTAGTGCTTGACTTAGGCTTCTCTGCTCCAGAATTTCTGCATAACCAACACCTTTGGGTATAAATACATATAACAGACTTAATGTCTTCATTTTTCTGTCACCTCTAAGCAATTTAGGCCATTGTTTTGAAATGAAGTCATGACCAGCTGGCCTTTAGTTTTGTAGGCTTACATTACTGCATCCCTTTCCAGCCTAGTTTAATGCAGTTTAGTGTCAGTACACAATTAATCTACTCCATTATTCTAATAAAATTTCCATAATAACATGAAACATCTTGAACCAGGCTACACTATACCAATAATAAATCTGAAAATTTCATAACATTATTTTCATATGAAAATTAAAATTCAAATTAAAAGATTCTATTTCATAACAAGAAAATAAACAAAAATAAAACAAACAAAAAAGCCATAAAACCTCCTAATTCTGACGTTCCTGGACATTTAATGTGGGAAGAAACAAGGACAAAAAAATTAGCCAGTGGTTTCACACACTACCTGTAATTGAACTATCTGTAAAATGAAAAACGTATATAGATAATTAAACTAAAGTTTGGAGCATGACTGTGTACAATTTCCAAAGACACAATACAGATGTGCAAAGCAACATTTCAGTAACAAGAAGGCAAGTTTGATACTGGGGAAAAACAAATCCCTCCAAGTCACCTTTCCGCCTTTGTACTGTGTCAGTTTTGAAAACAGCAATGCTTGGCAGGCTTCACTGACTTGGATATTATAAGCATGGAAGTTACACCTCTGCTTCTTCCATACCATTTTATATTTCCAGAAGGAAGAAAGGGAATCTTTAAGAAAGGAGACTGTTTTCATTTCTCCCTGTAAGAGGCCAGTACTTCACATAGCTTTCATGTAGACTGTACCATAACTCTTCCATTTTCTCTGGAGCTGTATAAAGATGTCACACACTCAGATCCCTAAAACAGCATAAAAAGTAGAAAACTGGGGCTTTTTCACATTAGGCTTTGAAGAGATTTAAAAGCTTAAATAATTCTGCTGTAAAACTTGCAAGATAATTCTATCTTACAACACAAGATTTATGAACCAGCACATTCTAGACAGCATACTACCCTCTCTGAAGAGACCATCTTCTTTAGTCTATTTTTCTTGCTTTCAGCATACTTTACGTCAAATATTTAGAACAAACATATTCATTGATTTCCTGAAATTAACAGAAGTACAGCCATTATTAAAGAAAGTGCAATATCATGCAAAATAAAACAAAACAACAACAACAAAAAAATCACATTTGACATGATCCCAACTGTATAAAATCAAAATCCATTCTCCTTACCTAGCTTACTTGTTTTCTAGATGCAAGGCTTTTTGGATTAGTATAATATTAATCTTAGGAATACTATTTTATACTAAAACAATGTTTTGCGATTTTAAGTAAAGCCTTCAACAACATTAGAACAAGACATTGAGGCATGTCACTGTTAAACAGATTTAAATTTGAAGCATTAACCTAATTAATATCCTACAGCATATCTAAGAACTTCACTGAGCTGCCATAATTTCTGTCAGCATATGTAGTACTGAATGACTAGTAAAATACCTGAATTGAAACTATTCCAGTCTAGCAGTTTGTATGATCTTGTGTTACCCATAATTCCGACAAAGGCTGAGTTCAAAACAGCAAATTAGTAGATCAGTTATAGGAGCAGAAAAGTGAAAAAATAAAAAACTACCAACAAGAACACAATTGACAACATCACTCCACAGGAACTGGAAAGACACAGACAGCAGAGTTAATAAGAGGCTGAAAGGGAAAAAAGGAGCATGCTATAGCAATCTAGCAGTAGGTGTGATCAAAGTGTACAATAAACAGCAATTACTGTGTAATTCGTAAGTTCTCAAACAACCTCTTTTAGTATTTTTTCCTCTTCTACAATTTCCTGCATATTCACTTGCCAGCGTAAGTAATTCAGTTAATTTACAAACTTGACTGAAATGCTTTGTATGACCATCACCATAACAGAATTTGTTTCTACTTCTTCACTTTCCCTCCCACTGGCACGTCCTTTCACTCCCCTCTTTCAGTTTTCATTTTTTTGCAATATGCTGAGTTTGAAGTATGAAGTATGTTACATACACTCGTCAGGAGCAATCCAAAAATCACAAAAAACCCCTTTAAGTTGCAAAAAGTCCCTTAACAGTGCAAACGTGAGTCTCTGTTTTACATTCTTCTCCCGCTTCCAGTTTTTTTTTTCATTTTGTCTTATCATATAGTACGTTCCACATGTAAGTGTTCTGTACCACAAATGTTATCTGTACATGAAATGTCGTATCTGTATCTTATATGTTAAAATACAGACACTTGAGACAAATTTGTATCAAAAAAGAACAAACAAATTATACATTGACATTACTCAATATTTTCTCTACTTCATAAACAAAAGCTTAAAAATAGGGAAAAAAGAACAATATTCTGTACTCGGATGCTTTAAAAATTTCCTGAAGTAGTTTACTTGAATTCAAATCTAGTCTGGGATTTCATTTCATTTTGTCAGCATAATCAGGAACGACGTTCCTGCTTTAAAAATTACCTGCCTTGAAGGAAAGGAGAGAGATTTCTTGTTGTTTTTTTTCTATTTTTTTTTGGAAAAAGATGCATTTGCACAAACTTTATGTTCTATTACTCCTGGCCAGTGCATGCAAAATTACTACAGGTGTTATTGTATTCTCTCATCTGCTTACATTTTAAGTGCACTGATTAACTCCAACTTTTTACAGAGCACTTCTACTTGTATCAATTAATGTAACACCAAAAGTATTCGGAGTCGCATAATGCTGATTTCAGAAACATGCAAAATACATGTTCCATTACTGGAGTTCCTAAGTAAATAGACAAATTTGTTGACAAATTTTAGACAAAAAACACTAAAAAATTGTTCTGTGTGTGTTTTTAAGTAAAAATAAAACACTCCAAAGGTTTTATCAAGAGAGGTTAAAAACACATATTGAGCTAGAATGCAGAGATCAGTCCTTAAGGATTTCAAAGAGCTAAAAATTAGAAAACATTTATAAGTATATATAAGTATTTCATCCGATTTTTGTTTGAAAGGAAATCTTGCCTCATGCTTTAATATTCAGAAGTAGCCAAAAATAGGTAGTCTCGATAAATCAAAGACAATTCTTGGTGTGAAGTTAATGGATCCCACGTCCTATCAGAATTTCACTAACTTGATGAGAGATTTCTCACTGAAGACAAACCCCCTGATTGCCTACTACTTTTCAAGCTTCAATTATTGCTCTTAATATACACTGTTAGAATGTATTTTTATTAATAAAAATACAACTACCTCATAACATTTTAAGGATTAGAAGTACGTGGCCATCACGATAGAACTTAGAGAAATGTATTGTGTCAACGTACCAGGATTGTGAATGCGATCCAAGAGCTTCACAGAACGGGCACTAACAACACCACCAACGTGGACAAGGAAGCCCGGTGGAAAGGCCGTCAAGGTAAAAAATGGAAATTCCTGTCACGAGTAAAAACAAGCATCAATGACTGTTCATCAACTACTGGCAATTGCCACTAAACATGCAGTGAACTGATCATTGCCCTGAAATACAAATAAAGCAGTTACAGAGGGCCAAGCGTATCCTTCAGGCTTACTAGGCACTATGTAACCATACATCTTCACAGACCAACAGTGTAAGAAAAGCAGAGTTATTCTAAAAATGTAAAAATACTTTTCCCCCATAGAGTTGCATTCTAACATAGTATTAATTAGTAATCAAAGCTTTACATGTTTGAGTTAACAAAGCTTTTATTGGTCTGCCTTTAAGAAGGCAGCTAAGCAACACAAGTTTGTTAACTGATAAAAAATAAAGGATTATTTTTCTCCATTTTCCAGGGCTTAATGTTATAAATGAATGCAGTTCAATACTGAAGCACGGGGTAAAGCTAACTGCAGTTCTGTAAGAACAGTGAATGTCTTAGTACAAGAGGACACATTTACAAATATATTAGCAGATTGCTTTGTGAGTGTCAAAAGCTCTAAAGATAAGTAGTAAATATTCATCCTTTGGAATAAAGCTTAAGTCTTCTATGAAATACAACTAAGTTCTTAAACCAAGGAAATTCATTTCCAATTTCATTTGTTTAAATGATTTTTACAAATTCATAATTGAAATCAGCAATTAATAAGATTTAGCAACAGTTTGAAAATGTTAATACAAGAGGTCATTAAGAGATAATAGCAAATTTTCATTACATACATGACAAAAACCTTCATATTCAAATGTGGTGAGCCCAAAAATGGGAAGATTTTATTTTCTACAGTATTACACTCTATAGCACATTTATGGGGGGAAAGGTGACAGGTTAGTGTTCAGCAATTCTCAACGGAGAGGCAAAAATACAAAGAAAAATCATGCAATCGTAGTTTGTATAGTGATGATTGGTTAAATGGATAAAATAAACAGCGTAACTGTATATGAGAGAAAGTACAGTACAGGTTTCTTTCTCACATACTTAAAGCACTTACAACAGTACAGTGCAGCTGAGCTTCCACCTAAACAGTGTACATGCTGCAAATTAAATGAGGATCGTGGTTCTTCCAGCAATACATGGCATGAAAAGCCCTTTTGAACAAAAGTCCAAGGCAACTTTTAAAATGACCACTTCAGGATTACTACCACCCTTGTGAAATTTACTAGAACTCCTACAATTCTTAAGAACTTCCTTTTTTCTGTATTTTCACTTTTACAGAATTTCAAAACTGCAGCAATTTTTGTCATCAATAATAACAATGTTGACTACCTCAGGCAAAACAAAACAAAACAAAACAACTACTGTAGTTGTGTTTCATGAAGTGACTAAAAAGTAGGACTTCACAAGAGGAATCTGTGAACCGGCCTGGCTGATGTGTCTTCAGGAGCACCAATGGATCTCTACAGAGGAGTACAGAAAAGATTCCACCAGAAGGTTTCACCAGATCTTGAAGTGCTCTGCAAGTTGTCAGAGCAGCCAAAGATCCTGACCACAACACAACCTACTTCTTTCCTGTACAATTTTCTGTCAAAAAAACATAGAAATCCCAGAACAGCTTCATCAACTGTTCAGTGATTCACAACAGTGACAATATTTTTTCTCCTGTGTAATAATTCCATGACAACCATTATGTGTAACTTAAAAATATACAAAATATATATATATAGCAAACATACATTTGCTGTGTCTCCTGAATAGTTATCCTGCATTAGTAATGTTAAAAATTAATAACTAGCTTTCTTAGAACAGTAAAAATTGATTATAGAAAGTTCAGTGCGTGCTATCTGTATGAAATATATATTCACTCTTAGGCTATGCTTAGTGTATGTAGTGAACAAAGTAAATGTTTTCACTCTGCGCTCTGAAGTACAAGGAAATCAAATGCTTATTAATCTGCAGTCAGAAGCTGCTACACACGTTTTTGTAAGGCTTCACACTGCAAGTAATCTTAACATGTTCAGACACCCAGCCTGTTTAGCTTACAAACTAGGAATAAATAACAGCATCGTTTTGTCTCAATCTATACACCTAGATGTAATATGTTAAAATGAGACCTATGTCCTCTCTATTAATTTCGCACACAAACAACTCTAAAGAACTCACTGAAATACTCAAACGTGCTCTTACTCCCTTAACAATGTGTCTCGCTCCTTCTGATGCACATAGAAGGCTGTCACTTATTACAATAGCCTTTTATTTCTATTTTTAACCCAGCTCTCTCAGAAGGGTTTATTTATTATCGTATTAGTCAATACACCACAAGACCCAGCCTCAACTACACGTGGTGATCTGTAATACTTCAAGAAGTTTAAAGTTTAAAGCCATTCCTGTTGCACAGAAAACAGATTTCCTGTGAACCAGATGCCATAGTTGTGTATTATAAACTTCCTCCATTATTGTACTTCGCAATGGACCTTCAAAATAAGGTGGTACGAACACAGAATCTTCCCACCCGTGTGAAGACATGATGACCTTAATTTTCCAAGCTACAACTGAAAACAGCCAATTATTTTACCAATACTAAATGGTAAGCTGGGTGCTGGACTCAGTGATCCTCGTAGGTCTCGTCAAATTCAGCATATTGTGTGATTTTAATTCACTACATCATTTCTCAGTTATTCATTGCACGGACTCTCAAAAAAGTACATAACTGATTTAATCCTTGCAACTGCACTGACATTTTACAGCCAGCATTTGGAGAAAGCTTGATGAGGCTACAAGAAAGTAATTGCCACGTTTAATATACTGCTTTAAAATGCTTGTGTTATACATACATGTATTGCTAGTATTCAAACTATATTTTACATACATTACACATAAAATAATGAAAAAGCACATGGAACAAGGCCACATACGCACACATACTGTGGTGCTAATGCCAGGGAAGCAGTTCTCAGCTTTCCATCCAGCCATTCCCTTATTCCTACCATGGTGCCACTCCCTCAGGTATCACCTGTGATGCTGACACATTCATGGAGCTTTTGGCACTGAGCCAGAGCAGAGATGCCATCCATACCAAAATACTGTTCACTTCCTGTTTGAGTTACCTTATTCTAGACATGTTTGCTGTGCAGTAACAGGAAATCTACTACAAGGTTGATTTTCTCTTTAGCGTATCAACTTTGCACCAGATGGCCAAATAATCTCATAATTTTTATTTCAAATGAACTGAGGGGTGCCCTGGATAGGAGTAAGAAGTCACTGGAAAGAAAAGTTGCTTAAGTCAGCAGTGCAGCCAAAAGAACCAGAGAGAGAACTGCGTTGTAACACAACAGTGATCCAGCAGTGCTCTTCACAGATGAATATCAGTGGATCTCTGTTTTGTCAAGGGAGCAATAAGGATCTCTCAAGCACTTGCAGAATGCAAATACAGAGGACTAACAGCATTTGTCCAAGTTGAGTTTGAAAGAGAGATGAATTATGATCAAGAGCAGTGCTTGACTGCATGTGTGAAAACACAGGCTAATTTTTGCCTACTGACAGAGGCAGTACACATTTCTAGGCAGAAGTACACAGAAAGATAGCTGTGTCATACAGTTAACACTTGCAATCAACAGGGATCCTGTGAACTGCTAAAAATACATTTATATTAAACAACACATGTACACATTTTCCATGGCTGGTGTACTTTCCCAGGAAAAAAAGTAACAGTTAAGATAATTCTTCTAACAAAATCTCTTCTGATTTCCAATTCAGTTTATTAAGTAACAGACTAACACATATTTGATTAAAAAAGCTGACAAGACATCCAGTTACATGAACTGCTTATAATATGCCTTAGCAATACCCATATGCTCAAATGATCTTACCTAAGATTCAGAAGAGCTTACTATACTTTCAACACATGTGGCAATATAACACACACATCAATTTTACTCTTTGCTTAAGTGCTACCCTAAATAATCCACACAAGTAACTACAACGCACTGTGCACATATGGAACAGTGAAACAGACAAAACGTTCTTCTGAGTGCTAAAGACGTGCTGAGCTAAACGTCTCCCCCACCTTTCTTATTCATTCTAAGTAACTGAAAGAGGGCAAGTGCAATAAAAAACAAATCCAACGTAAAATTATCAGAAAGACAACAGAAGCAATTTTGTGTGTGTCAGTCAATAGTCTGCATGTTTTGCTACATATCAATCATCTTAGAATCAGTAACAGATTCAACATGTTTCCACCTCATTTTATGGTATTTCTTCAGCTTGGCAGTATACAGCTCTTACCAAACTAATTTGCAAATAATTCAAATTCCAGATATATGTTAACTGTACTGATTTGACATTTTTAATTGTTTTTAAGAAGCTTCCTGAATAAATAATAGATAAGTCATGAAACGTCTAAAACGTTAGGAGAATAAAGATAAAAGAGAGAGAAATGGATCTTTTTTTCCTCCAAGCAACAGCATTAAAAGCAAAGCTATGGATTTCTATTTAAAAGAGAAATTATAACTGAAATCTATGAACATGCAAAATATAAATTAAGCCAAAGTATATCTGATAAATGCTTTAAAACAAAAAACTAAAAAATATACAAAATTCCTGCATAAGCAAGATTCCAAAGAAATCTGAAGAAACCTCACGAAGAAAATTAGAAATCATTGCTTAGAAATCTTCAATACAAAAAAAAAACAACCAAAAAACCAATAAACAAACAAACAAAAAAACTACAAAGAGTCACACAATGTTGGAGAACATACCCGCCTTCTACAGAACCTATGAGGCGATCCTCTCTTAGCAATGGACAACACAAGAAATGAGAAGAGAATCATCCACTTGACTCAAAATAGCAGCTATTCACTTCTATTTCACAGACGCAGCTGACTTTGTTTTCAACAACTTACACAGGTTCTACAGGTATTCAGGATTTGTAATTATAATCATTTATTTTTTTCCCCAGATAGCAGAATATTCCACATTTCTTCTTTCAAGACATCTCGTTAATAACACAGCATTTCAATTATACCAGAATATACTGTAAACTTACTGCAAAGACCTCATAAGCATCTTTAAACAAATGAAAGGAATTTAAAGCACTGTTTTTATTTTGCTTTATATTCAGTATGGATCAATAGCATATAAACAAATTGAATTTTTAGTCTTACAGAGGTTCTTCCAAAACTTCTAAACTCCTTTCACTGTTTGGGAACTGAATTGTTGAAGTTACCATCTTACAAAGGCTACATGCACATCGTTTCATGTAGAACACACAAGTTCTGAACTTCTATGCAACGACTCTATTTTCTTCCAAATATCAGTTTTCTCAATTAATTATGGGACTTTCACCTCGTCTGAAGTTATTTCAATGTTTCTGACTTTGGCTTCTACAAAAATTCAACCAAATACGTGACAGTAGAGTATTAAATAGACACATACACCTATAACTCAGACACCAAACAGCAGTAACTTATGCTTTAACTGTTTTGTCATACCAGCTGTAATCACTTGTGTGTAAGCACTAATGTGCATACATTACACTTACTTCCACTACTCTTATGGCTTTAACAATATATTTTAAAAGCTCACCTGAATTCTAATTATTAAATGTCTAATAAACATTAAATGTCTATTAAACATTCAACATTTATAGTAAACTTTCAGACAAAAAAACCTGCATCTTTTAAAATAGACAGTAACAGGAAACCTATACAAGCTTAATTTTCTCTTTAGTGTATCAGAAATGTAAGTATAAAATGCCTTACCCTTTGTTCCAGAGCTGACTGAGTCTGCTGCCTTAAGAGAGTTTTAAACGGCCCCCCTTCTTTTCCAGCACTCCCACTGCCCATTCCTAAAGAGCACCAGTACAAATGACATTTAAAAAAATAAATAAAAACATATTATCATTTGCAATCAAACTTCAATTTAAAAATACGTGAAGCTGTGATTGAAAACCATACAAACTATTCCCTTAAATTTCCACGAAAAAAATGCTGAGCATTTAAGCATTTGAGTTTTGCGAGTGGGGCAGGGTAGGAAGGTGATGGGTTTTTAAGTTTATTTTTAAAATTCCTAGCAGTGTTTTCAGTCATTATAGATTTGGATAAAAATTTCCTGATCTAAGACATTTTCCTGACATGTCTTTGAAGATCTGGGCTTGCAATTCTTTTGTACAACACAAAGCTTTAATTTCAATATAGAATCATATAGAATGGCTTGGGTTGGAAGGAACCTCAAGGATCATCAAGCTCCAACCCTCTGCTGCAGGCAGGGCCACCAACCTCTACATATTATAGTAGAACAGATACATAGATCTCCCTCCTGTGCTTTCCACAGGAAGTTTCAGCATCATTAGAGTTTCAGAGTTCTTACCTAAAAAGGGCTGCAATGTTACCATTAACTCCACACTTTTGAACAATTCTGCTGCACTCCTTTATAGTAAGCTATACTTCTCTACTTACATTATTGGTTTTAAAAAAAAAAAAAAGAAAAAAAAAAAAAGAAAAAAAACCCTGCCTCCCAGAGTTTCAGCATAACCACATCACCTTTCCTAACCACTGGGAAGTAACTGCACGCTATTTCAGCAGTAGCTGTACACTGCATGAGTGAAACTAAAATGTGAACTGCAAAGCTAACACAAATCATTTGAACTGAACTATATGGTAGTGATATTTATTTAACATAAGCACCGTGAGATATTCAATCATTTGATTCAATCAGATAAATTTAGCAATACTGCTCAGCATTTCAAACGGCTACACTTATCTGATTACTACGTTTTCATACACATAACCTGCAGATCATCTGTAAATAAAAAATAACAAATAAATGATATTTTCGCATATCATGACTAATCGTTTGGTTTCTTTTTTTGCATATTTCACTTCCATCTCAGCCCCTAAGTAGGGAACTTCTCTGAAGAGCTCTAGAATGTATCAGATACATGAACATCTTTGCCATCAAGGATCTGTTGTCAAGGAACAACATGTTATGTGGTTAACTAAGCGCTGCGAGATGCAGGTTATATGTATAACTATAGCATTCACTCTACTGTTAGAAATCAAAAAAGTAAAAAATAAGCACATACCAAGACTGTGTTTTTTGTACAATAAACACAGTACTGGTGAATCAGATTTTCTTGGTAATATTTCATGCCTAAAAATACGCTATCACTGGTACTTATCGTCTCTAGAACCATCAGAGCTAACTGGACACTGCAATAATATGCACCTAAATTTAGGAAAGCACTAAGAAAAAGGATAAAGAACAAAAAGACATGTCAGGAGCAAGATGAAGTACAAACACACTGCAGTGCAAACGCTTATGAGTGAAGGCAAGATTCTCATTTACAGTAATTCTAACTAATTAAAACACTTGTTAGGTACCTCTCTTGTTGTTAAGCATCAAATAAACATGAATGAGGGTGTACATATATATCAAAGTGTAGTTACTTCTTCTAAGAAAATACAGGGATATCTAGAAATACTGATCTTGATATACGTTAACTTCATTACTAACACTGTCAAAAAATAACCAGGCTCTCATTGCCATTTAACTGCACATACTGTAAGTATATACTATATATATTACACGTACTATATAAAGACTATAAAGACTATAACTACTAACAAATATTTTTAGCTGTTCTTGGATAAGGAAACAATAAGATTAGTATATGTATAGTCCCATTAAACAAGTTTTAATTGCTTTTAACTATTTGGCATTGAGCTAAATATCATTGTCAGGGACTATACAATATTAAATACAGACAAACACAGCATCAACACTGGACAAAAAAAAAAAAAACATTCTACAGAAAAAAAAAAAGCACTGACAACAACTGAATAATTTAAATGCATGCCAATGGAATGGAAAAAAGTGCAGTACAAATAAAAAGTCTGTACGGACTTTGCTCGACGCGCATTAAAGAGCAGAGTTGCTAGCCATCTGATAGCCATAATTCCAAAAATTATGAATGAATTAATGAGCAAGTGCTTGTTCCATGCAAAATAGAGGAACAACAAGCTGAAGTGAATGAGAAGGGGGAAAAAAAAGTCTATTAATTTAGTCCAGTTACCAAAGAAAATTGAGAGAGGAAACGAGGAAGTTCTTTAGCGTGAATTACATGCTTCAAATCCTCTATAGCGTGAAATTCTGAAGCTGTTACAAGCTTCTAGGGCACAGCTGAGAGATGGTATGACAGTCATGTAGCCAGCAGTTTTCAGAGGCTAACAAAAACATTGGGTTATAGAAGGCTGTGTGTTAAATGTCCCTGTATCAAACAGCAACAACATTTGCTTAAAATGTTTAAAAGGCCATAATAGATTGATCCTACCAGAAGCAGCCAGAAGCAGCTCTTCAGTGAAAGAAACACTTTTCCTCAGAACAACTGGGCTGACATGGCTAGAGTGTAGAGGGTAAAGGCTAGACCCCGAGAGGAGGAGACAGGACTTTTTAAGATGTGGGGAATCACATGAGAGTGTAGGGGAGCTGGGAAACAGGAAAATCCTAGGTCCCTGTGGGGAAAGTGCTGTGGAGGAAAGTAATAGAGACAAAAAGATGTAGATTCAGAAGATGACTAAAGAAACAGAAAAAAGAAAACAAAATGAAGCATTTTTTTTTTCCTCCAAATGAACCCACACTCACTGCTGAAGTATTCCTCAACATACAAAGAAATGGAAGGACAGTACAGCTACACAATATGAATGAGAAGCAGGTTATCAAAAATCACGAACTGATCAACTTCATTTTTAAATTATCTCGTTTTATTAAGAAGCCCTGATAATCTAACATTTCTTTTAAACTGTATATAAAATTTGATAGGTGTTATGGAATAAAAGCTAAGAGATTACTTTCATCACTTTGGTAAAAAGTTCTTTGGAATCTTATATCCTGTTGAATTCTAAGGTTCCACCAAGAGAAGAAGTTCCCACCTTTCCAATTTCCTCCAAATATCACATCAAACAATATGCAATGCTTTTCATCAGCCTAATATTCTATTAGTTTGCAGCAGCATAAAATAGATCACTGTGCACAGCAGAAATCCAGTTTCAAACCAAAACATGTCCTCTCAGATCTGAAAAAGTTTTTCTTCTACTTAGAGCATATACAGAGCAGACTATATAATGCAACCACAGCTGTATTTTCTGTAAGGTATTAGCACAGCAGTCTCCTGATTTGGAGCTACTGAAAACTGGACACTTAAGCAGATCCAAGTTTCCATCTCCCCTGTTTAATTATTCATACTGTGAAATTGTGGTATCTGCACTCTTTTTCCAGGTCAGTCTCCACTGCAAGCATGTGAACCTACCAGCTACCTGACTGAGAAATAAAAGACTATCTATCATATATTGCAGAAAAACAAGGAATTTCATTTGGTATCTCAAATTTTATGTTTAACAGGTTGTGTCAAGACAACAACAGACACTGTTTTAGCACTAGCCTCTCTAGCTTCCACACAGAAATATTCCAATAACATTACAGTTCTTGGAAAGGAAAACAGAGGTCCTAACACATATTGTGTATTGTTAGAAGCAACACAATGAATTCAGTACATTATGGAAGCATATTTTGTATTTCATTTTGTATTGTCTTTTAGGTAAAACAATTTACTGAACGATGTTGTTCTTTAAGCTACTGAGATTCAAAATTTAGTATGTAACACCCAGATAGTGAATTTTTAAATGCATTTGGCAAATCTCAAGACACAATTCAGCAGCAGAGTTAAAAGCTGATAAAAAGTGCTAGCAAGCAAAAGCACACCCACTGGTAGATTTGATGCTAAAAAGACAGGTGGAACATAGGTCTGCTTCCTCTACATACTTCAGAATTCCTAAAAGGTGGCAATTATACAATCTGGTTTAATTATAAACAAATGAATCAAAAGACAGGGACCATCCAACTACATAACACTGCCAGTAACCAAGTTAAGGCTGCTGCTTCAAAAACTTGGTGAATTCACAGCGAGTGGCCACTTCATAAACTAAGAATAACCACCACCATTACATTTTAATCCTTTACACCACACAGTCCTCACCATGAAAATCTGATCAAAACAAACATATTTTCAAATATTCCACAAAACAAACACAATAGTCATCATTTACACAAAAGGACCACAAAATGAAGTGGTAATGTGGTTTTTTTTGGCTTTGTTTGTCTTTGTTGTCATTTCTTTGGGGTTTTTTGTTTGTTTCTTTCTTTCTTTGTTCTGGTTGGTTGGGTTTGTTTCTTAAACAAGGTGAAAATGACAGACCTAAGACAGCTCCCTTATATGGAACATTTTGTAATGGAAATATGGAGAATAAACTAGGTAAAACATTTAATACAAGTGCATGTGAATGCAGTATTACATTTATCTCCTTGGGAAAATTCTTGAAAGGAAGGGATGCTATCAGATAAAGCTGAATCAACCATTTCAACGTACTTAAAAAACTGTAATGATCAAATGGAAACAAGAATGTTCTGAGCTCCAAACACCATGATTTAAAACACCATTAAAAAAAAAAAAAAAGTGAGCTTTTATAAACAATTCTGCAACATCTTTACCACTATGCTGGTAAAACTCAGGGCACTGGCCATATAATAATAAACAATATAATTTTTTGAGCTGTGCTGACATTGTTACTGCCATGATTGTAACCACAGACTGAGAAAAAAAAAGAAGGGAAGAATCAAACAAGTTGAAGAAATTTTGACATAACAAAGAAGAAAGAAAAATGCTTTTAGATGATGACTGGAGTATTATTTAGGTTACATTCAGCAACCAGACTGTGTATGTAATTCCTGTATGCCAAGAAAATTTAATAGGCAGCAACTGCACGATTTCTAGTATGGCATTTGCACGAGGGAGTTAAACAGTCACAGAGATACGTATATAACAGTACACCTACAGCACAATGCATAATGCTAGAAAATTACAGCTTTAGTAAGAAAACTGCCTGTTAACATATTGTGGTGAGAAATGAATCCCATGATCTGTATGTAATATGAGATGGAGGAAATAAGAAGAAGGCGATTACTTCAGACGCCCTTAATGCTGTGCAATATTTTATTTAGGACTAAACTCAGTTGTGCTAAAAATGTAATTCTAACGTTATCCACCTTAGTGGAAACATAAGGCTGGATTTAAATTTTCAGCCTACAGAAATTGTCCTGAGCACAAAAGTGCTACCTGAAGTCTCCAACTTCAACATAATTTTGATAACTTAAATGTCAAAAAGCAAAAAGAGGTTGAATGAAATTATAAAAAGAGAAACACAAATTAAACGAAAAGTGGGTGGAAGCGCCTTACCAGTTTTGGGTGTCAAACTCAAATCTGTGTCAGAAGAAGAGGACTGTCGACTGTAGGACTTGGAAGGTGAAAAGGAATAGGTTTGGTTTTTCAGAGGGGTGGAGGGTCCTGATGAATGAGTATTGGGATTGGGATCTTCATTGAAGGGAATCCTGCCAGAAGAAGGTGGAAACACATTCAGTAATCCTGTGCCAAAGGACCTGGCTGACAGCAGCATGATCCAAACACCAGGATGGGGTTGGGGCAGGGCCAGCAGCTATTCCTTAGGTGCGAGACTGGGGATGAGGCCAAAGGCAAATGCTGTTTAACCACTCAGCACTCTACAGATAGATGCTGATAATCTACAATGAAACAATTAAGCCAAATGAAAGGCATGAGATGGGACCAAAAAAAAAATATATATATATATATGCAAAAGAAAAAATTGAAAACAGTTCATGGCTTAAAAATCTAGTCATATACACAACATTTGAGTTAGTTTAATGAAGAAAAAATGATTTCAAGTTATATTTGTGTTTATACATATCCATACATTTATGTATATACACACATATACATTTTAAGAAAAAAAAAAAATGTTTCCTTATCCTATAGCATCAACAGCATGCCACAGCTAAAAACAGAGCCAAGAGGAAAACCTTTATGGGAGCAGCTATATTGACAAACAGTTCACTTATGCACAGATTGACTTACCTGCTCTCCAAAGTTGTCTCTTCCACAAATGGCACATACCCTTCATTTAACCATTTTAAAACCAAAGTATTATATCTGAATTATGTCTGAAAGCAATTGTTAACTCCAATCAAAACGTGATTTCCCCTAAGGACTGTAACACAGCAAATGTTACTCAGATTTATCAACTTATTTTTACTTAATTTCTTAGAAAATAAGTTTATTAAAAAGAAACAAAGAGTGTGGCTTTGTGGAAGAGACTGATGCACTTTCAAGAAACTATTGCCTTTGTTTCAGGAGCTGCACAGAGAGTTCTTCACTGACAACAGAAGGTTTCTCCACGAGAAAATGAGGGAGAAAAGATGGGTGGTACCTGCCTACACTGCCTGCCTGCCTGCACTTTGCGACCACTGTGCCTTGTGGCCTGCCTCTCCCCAGCTCTTGAGTCTGAGCAGTCTCGTACCAGTGTAGATGAGAGTGGGAACAGACACAGAGAAGTTCTGAGTAAGTCGTGAGCCAGTAGCAGTGTGAATTGGGCTGTTGTGAGTCGAGCGGCATCCATGGCTTGGCGGATGAACCAGCGGAGACCTGAGAGAATTTGCAGCCAAGGTGGAAGAAAAGAAAACAATACATACAAACAGGTTGCAAAGTTATGTTATAAATGGTTTCAGGGAAGTTTAGCTAGAGGAGATCTCTTATTTTAAGCAGACTAAGAATTTTAATTCCTAGCATGCAAGAGTCCAGATGAAATAAAGAGAGAAAGGAAAAGCTTAAGTACTAGCTTATGATTATAAATTGATTTTTTGGCAACAGTGCATCAAGTTAGTAAAGCCAATAATAAGAAGCATTAGTTGACTTTGCTGGCTTTGAGAAACAGCCTCACTTTTTAGACTGAGGGACAACGATTCTGTCAACATCCACTACCAAACTGCTACACAAGGATTATTTGGTGGATGAAATTTCCACCTTTCACTCCAGAGTTATCAACGAAAGCCTTTTAAGTTGGTGGTTGCCAGGTCCAGGTTTTTTTGTTTTGTTTGTTTTAAATAATCACTGTTATTTCATGCTGCAGTTTATTCGAAGCTCTTTTGATGGCAAAGTTTTAAAACAAAGACAAGTTAAACAAGCTATTATTTGAAACAAAACTACTTCTGAGAAGCCAGAGCACACTGCTTCCTAGAAAATGTCTGATTTTTAGTGCAATAACATAACAGTAAGTTAATAAAGATGTCTGGGAACATTATGGAAGTAGTACACTTTGTAACACTGATTTTTCCTTTTACAAATCGGCTGACACTTTGAAACAGAAAGTCACTAACTTATCCAAGCAAAAATTTAGAGACTGCAAGTATTTCCCTACTAACTCCTCTGCACATTAATAATTTGCGTGCACACTGCCTTTAACGCTGCAGTAGAATTTACTGATTTCTGTTATATTTCTCCCATCATAAACAATATCCTCTGCAAGTACACCTTAGCCCTACCTGTTTTGCAACAGTGGAAAGCAAAGGACACAAGAAAAGATGAGCCTACCTAGGGTCACTCTCTAAACCGCTGACTGAACTGTGCAAACCCTTCTATGATCAGCACAGCTACTCAAACTTGACTGTACTCCAATCAGAACATCTTAAATACAAGGCATATCATTAC